AAATAATTTGTTTATTAATTTCGTTTATTGTTTGTTGCAGTGGTGTGTGCCCACCAACAGAGCAGCGTCTCAATTTACTTAAGTTTCGCTTTTTGGTGTAGGAGGGAGAGCGCGGCAGTTGGAGAGCGGATGATTCACTTTCCAACAATGCTGCGGCTGCTTTTCATGTGTGTGTGCCGAAGTGGAAGGACGGAGTGGGAAAAGAAGCGACGCTTGGCTGCGTGAAATTGTTGTTCTTTATTTTTAGTCAATGGAAATGGCGATAACTTCATTTGTGCTTTGCTTCTGGTGCTTCGCCATGCGCTGCTCTTTTTCTACGGCTCTCTTCCCACAGCTTTCTTTGAGTGGTAACTGTTGCTGTTGTTCTTCCGACTGATTTGATTGTTGTTTCTTTTTTTGCACTGCTTGTTCTTTCTACTGCTTTCCATATACAGCTTCTGCCCACTCTTTCGACTAGCACTGCTCATTCCTACTGTTTTGTATTTGCCTCCCTCTCTTCTTTTTTTTCTCTTATTGCTGCTGTGACCATTACCATTGCTGTTGTTTCTTTCTCCTCTTTGACTGTGTCTTCTTGCTGTTTTCATTAGTGGCTCTATGGATGCCATGGTTACGCATAAAAGAGAAAGAGGGGAAAAAACAAGAGAGCGAGATGTTGAGAGACAGAGAGAGAGCGACTTTAAATCATGATTAATCTCGCATGTAAAGTTGTAGAGAAGCGCTTCCACTGCTTAACCCCCGGGCCGCCCGGCTCCTACAGCTTACAGGCCACCTCACTCCGTTGATTTGGTTCATAACGGTACCGGCTATGCATAACAGCATTTTAAACGTTGTTCTCTCCAGACCGCCATCGAGCGTCAAAGTTTAATTTGTGCTCAAAGAAAAGTGGGAATTCGGACAATGGACCCAAACATCATTTCATTTCTTCTACTTCTCGCTTGCGTCCCTCTCTCTCTGTCTACCATCTTTAGACCCCCGCTGAATGGCCAATAGAGTTCGTTTCTTTTCTCTCTCTATTGACCAGCAAAAACAAACAAAGACTTAAAAAAAAAAAACAAGAACTAACAATGCGAATCTGGCCTTGCAGTTTGCTCTCTCGTGTCTCGTGTCGTGTTTGCCATTTTTCCCATTTGAAATGTTTATTGTCTAAAAGTTAGGAATAGAAATACTCTTATATTGAGGGTATATGAGATTTGAGAGAGATTTTAGAGAGAGACTTTTAAAGGGTTGGCAGAAGTTATGGCCCTTTGGTTTATGTTTGCAGTTTTAGGGTACTTTTCGCTTCTCATTCTATACTCTTATTTTCTTAAACAATCGAATGACAAAACTATTCAGCAGACTATAAAAAAGAGTAGCTTTCAATTGCACTTCAACTGCCACAAAGCGGCAAAAGGATTTATGGCCTCACAAACTAGTGTAAATGATGTTGAAAAGGTTCTTGGAAATTGTAAAACAACAAAAGACCGGGGGACACAGGCACTCTTTAAACTTGAAACCCCTTAAGGACAAGTGACAAATCACTATTTAAAGGTACTTCCTGCTCAAGCACATAAATGTGCCCCATACATCACCTTTCCAAGCGAAAGCTGGCTGCTCCCAAAGGTAACAGAAATGGTAGTGAAACCCTTTTCTATGCCAAAAAGTACATCCATTTATCACCAAAGTTCATCGGCTTCCAACAGCAACGACGAAAATAAACGAAATCTTTGCTCCAGTTCCTGGTTTCCTATGCAAATTAAAGAAATCACTTTGACACTTGAAGACTCTACGCTTTTGTTGTTGCTTTTTTGGACTTTTATAAATAGTTTTGTTTTTTTTGTTAACAATTTTTGTGTGTGTTGTGGTTCCTTTTGTTGTTTGTTGCTGCTGCTTATTGCCCTCATTTGTCATTCGGTTTACTTTTGCCCAAACCCCCGGCCGAACCCTGCCTCAATGGTAATCCGAGCGTCAATCCACTTCACTCTTCCACACCACACACCGAACCGCTTGGTCTTTGCCCATTGTCTTTGACCATTTCGTGGCTCATGCCAATTGTTTTTATCAGCTGGAACAAACGTTCGTTGAAAGCGTGCAAATTCGAATGCAAATTTAACACCTCCTCGTCGTAGCCGTCGTCGTGGTTGACAAAAAACAACGACGAAACAACAACAATAACAATAGACCCAAAAGAAACAACAATAACAATTGCACAACAGCAATTCAACAACAGAAATACAAAACCCACCAGCAACAGAGGAAGGGTACAGAAGCATTTGCTACCCCTTTTTGGAGATGGATTTTTAACTCTTCCCTTAGAAGATTCACGTCTTAGCAGATTATTCCCTCTTCTGAGATTTTTCCTTTATAGATTTTTCCTTGTTCTGAGATTTTCCATTAGAAGGATACTTTCAGTTTGAATTTCTCCCATTTCGGAGTTTCTTCCCTTAAATAATTAGTTCTTAGATTACAGATTTATAGATTCTTAGATACATAGATTCCATCGGAAACGAGATATTTTGCTCTTTGCCAAATTCATCATACCCTTTCTTGCAGGGTATCCCAAGAGGAAAGAAACATTTAACTTGTGTGAAAATTGAGTCGCAAATTGAAAATCAAGACGAGAAGCACAAACATGTTGGGGGCACAAAAAAGTGGGTTAAAGCGAGCAGGGAAAATTGAATGCATTTGAGGAAGAGGGAGAGTGAATGAGGGACCAACAGCCAAAATGATTACCTCACTGCACCCATTCAGACACACACACACATACAGAATGCACACACACAGACACACACACCTACATCCACAAATGGAGAGACAATAAAGTCCATACATCTGCGGTGGGGCTCTGAGACTGTTACTGTGACTGCATTTTGTGTTGTGTTGTGTTGCGACTGTTGTGAAAGTGAAAATGAAATTGAAATTGAAATTTTCATGTGGTCAAGCACCCAGAGCAGCAGAAATCAGTAGCAGCAAGCAGTAGGCAAGCAGTAGCCACAGCAGCACCCAGCAGCCGCAAGCAGTCGTATATCAGAGAGAAAGGGAAGTCATTGCCAGTGGATATACACTTTGGAAAGGCATATTTTCTATGTAATAAGGCAAAGGAGATTCTAACTGCAAATATTCACCCATTTGAAGGGTTCTTTCTTCAGAGCTGTTGCCTTTAGGTACTGCTTCTAGTAGTCGTTCTCCAACGAAAGGTTCTTTACTCTGCCATTTTTCCTTGCTTCATTTTTCCATCAAGAAAGTCTGCCTTTCCAAGGTTCTACCTTCAAACAACACTCAATCGATATCGAATTAGTTATTACCATTATAACACTCTCTTTGGCATGTAGTGTAGTGCCTTTCTCTCTTTTGAAGCACTCTCTTCTGTGGAATGCCCAACGGTAGTTCGCTCAATATTTAACCCCTGTATTGGCCCCCTGTTACGCATGCGCGCCTGAGGCCCTGTAGGGCCCTGAGCTGGGAAGCCATTTACCCAAATCTGAGCTTTAAAGAAAAGAAAAATCTGATGATTTATTTGGCATGCCCCCAACTTTTGGGAGGTCAAAAGATTGTTTCGCTTTCAGCTTTCTGTCTTTTGCTCTCTGGGTGTGGAATGTGGTGTGTGGCAAGCTTTAGCTTGCTATCAAAATAACAATTAACTATCACATGTTGCTGCTGCGGTCTTTTTTCTTTTGCTTTGGCCTACACTTTTAATTGTGGCTTAAACTGGTTTTATTTTGTATTTTTTGCGACAGCTTCCAGATGCAGACGCAGATGGCAGAGACCAGAGGGAGCAGCGCGTTGAAAGCCAATTAGGAAATATTTTTAACTTGGCATCTCTCTCGGTGGCTGCCACAGACACAGCCACAGCCACAGCCACTCTCTCTCTCTCTCTCTGTGTCTGTCTCTTGATAATCCGCAGACAAGTTAATCGTTTGTTGACCTCCCATCACATCGCATCCACTCCCCACCCATCAAGGATTGAGAGGAGTGCGAGTCTCCTTTTTGCATTGCGGTTTCGAGAGTGTTTTCGTTGGCAGAAATTTGCATAACGCGTTGCAGCAGACAGCAGTTGCCACATGCCACAGACTGCATTCAGGCTAAGAACTCCATCAGAAAGTACACTCCCAACTCCATTCGCTCTCTCCGTCTTTCTGTCGCTGTGGCAGTTGTAGTGCCGGGCTCTGTGGCAGCCTCTTTAGAGATGCATCTGCCAAGAAGTCACCACAAATCATGCAGCATGCGAGTGCTTATCTTAACAGTTATCTCAATGGAACGGTACTACTACTACGTTCACATGGGAAACGGGTACTACTACAAACTACTGTCTCGTACAACAGCTAGAAATGGGTGCCACTACTGTCTCGGATACCATTAAAAATATTATATGCTGCAGATAGCCTTTTACTGGCTGTTTCACACCTTCAGCTATGCTGATTTTTTTGCCATTAACTGAGGCTTTATCTAGGGGTTAGCTTTCATCTAATGCTTCCTACTTTTCGTTGCTTTATCTTTTGTTTATTTTCTGCTGAAGTTTGCAGTCAGAGCTCGGGGTTTATCTACAATTTTAGTACTCTTATATCATGCCTTGAACGTTCCTTGATCTTTGCTGAACAACTTTGTGTGTTAAAGCCTTTTCTTGCTGCTTTTATTTATAAATGTAAAATGTTTTCTCTTCAAGCCCTTGCTGGAAATTGCCTAAAAAGTTACGCCAGATGAAAGTATAAGACTTTTTTGTCTAGTTTTTATCTCCCAAATCTCCTGCTTCTATTCTCTTCTCATTTTCTCATTTCTCTGCCAATTAAATGTTCAAAAAATAAACCATTCGAGTGGAGTTCTTTCTGCTTCAGACTTGGCTTTAAGTTTGCGCCAATTTTGCTAACAAGCAAACAGCAGAAACAGCAAAGGGAAAGCCCAAGCAAAAAATCCTAATAATAATATTGCATTCTCAACAGTTTCTCTTCGTTGCCTTGCGTACTATTCTCTCTTTCATTTCATTTGGTTTCTTTTAACATTTGTTCTCCGTTTCTTTCTGCTTTCAGACATGGCACAAAACGTGTTTCAGATGCACAGAATGCGGCATGACGCTCAATATGAAAACCTACAAGGGCTACAACAAGATGCCCTACTGCGAGGCGTAAGTACAACAAACAAGGAGAAATACAGCCCAACCCTTAAAGCAGAACCCAGCCCAGCCCAGAATTTCCGAAGGGGGGCAATCACGACCCGCGGCGGGTCTTCTTTTGAGAATGTGATGAATGGGTGGGGGGTGTCCCGGTGTAGCTTGGTCAACCTTGATTTAGTGTACCTTTCCTGCCTTTCCTTTCTTTCTCCTCCCCAAAATTCTCCTGCTGTAATCTTCATTAGTGTCGTTTATCTAATCGCTAAAGAGAGAGGGAGAGAAAGAACGCGGCAGTGGGAGCAATGGGAGTGGGTAAAGCCATAGAGGAACAGATAAGGGACCCACGGAATTTGCTAAAAAAAATTGCAAAGTTTCTTCAAAACGAAATGCAGTTCCCATTCGCCAGCATTCAAATGCAGCCGCTCCATTACTCCATTTAAGGTGAAAAAGGCAGCAGCAGCTCCAGCTCCAGCTCCTCCTACTTCGCTTGATTTGAGGGGGTGGCACGAGTACAGCAGATGGTCACACACAAGCAGAGAGAGAGGGCGGAACTGGGAGTGGCAGCAGCAGTGATTGGAATGCGGAAATGCAGTTGTTGAGATTAGAAAAAAGGGAGCAGACACCTGCACTCGACAACAACAAAAAATGCTGCGACTTGTTCATTGTTTAACAAAACACTCAACGTTCCTCATTTTATTTAATGGGAAATCTATGGATTTATTGGAAATTCAAATGTAATCAGCAGCGAATTTCTGAGACTTTAAGCATTGGCTTGCGCTCAGAATTCGTTTATTTTTGCATGTCGAAGAGCTTTGAATATTCTGAAATGTCTCTTATCCCTTCTGGCTAGTTACTTCTCTTGGAATTCTGCGAATTTATACAGACTGCGGTTTGTATTTTTAAATGTGTAGAATAATAGTGCTGCCCCCCCCCAGCTCTGTCGTTGAGTTTTACTCGAGGACTTTTGTCGGTCTTTTGCTCGTTTTCCTGAAGGACTGTTTCCTTTGCTGCCTTCAAATCGCGATTTTTCCCTGTTGGGAATGTGTGCCACATGGGAGGAGTTCTTGCACCCTGTCATGTTTATTGTTGCCACAGACAGAACACACACCCAGCGACGAGGAGCAAGTGTTTTGCTTTGTATTCGGACAAAACTTTGACTCTGGACTCCGAACTCCTCTTCCAAATTTGTTGCTGCAGTGCGTGGCTGCTGCTGCTGCTTCTGCTGCTGCATTCGTTGGCCTTGAGCCAAAGGCCTAGGGGGAAATGAAGGGTAGAAATTGGTTGTATCCTGGACAGCCAGGACTACTGATCGTATTCCTGCTGCTGCTGCCACTGCTGCTGCTGCTCTAATGCAGATTTATTGTGGATGCCACCGCTGCGGGAATAAAAATTCCATGCGGATTGAGTTATGCGTCCGTTAGCTCCATTGCGCAGTGTGCCCCCCAGTGTGCCCCCCTCTACGCCTCTCTCTGTCTCTCTGTTTGTGCAACATTTCAGTGATGTCATCGCCTGCTGCATAAATTCTGCAGTGTGGAAGGAGGCAGGCAGGCAGGCAGGCCAGAGCTTGTGCCGCTTTAGCGGTAACGCCCCATTTTCCGTTTGGCACTTTCACTGCATTTCCTCGAACCGCTTTGCACCTTCTATCAAACCGAATGTTGTCTGCCGTCTGCCAGCCTGGTGCATGCCCCACAGAGGCGCTGCTCCCTGATTACGTGACGCCACGTACCAAGGAGTCGTGTTCCCTTTGGCTGTCTTTCTGTCTGTCTTTCTTACTTGCCTATTTTCTACTTCTCCTCTTTCTTCCTTTTCTTGCGGTGCCTTTTCCTACAGCTTTGGACTAGATTTTCCCTGGACTTTTCCCGGGCTTCAACGTACAACTTCAGCATTTTGGTTTGCATTTTATAATTGCTTGAGAAGTTTCTTGGTTCTTGGGTTCTCTTCTGCTGCTGCTGCTTAAAAGATATTTCCAAGCAAAGTTTTCATAGCTCTCATACGAGCAAGAGAGGTCACAGAGCGGGCTCCCCCGGGGGTCAAGGAGGGGGGCAGGTTGTTCTTCCTCTAGGGAAAACACGATGGCCATAAATTATGAAGTTCATTCGCAGGATACAAGTAAATGAGGGAAACATGCAATTAAACTTAGCAGAGGGAGGCCACACATGCTCAAACTCGTACTCGTACTCTTATGTGACCCCAAACTAGTGCCAGCAGACGGCACTTTGATTGGTAATTGGATTGAAGATGAATGCATGACAGAAGAGGGTAGACAAATGGACTGGGAGTCGCCATAAAAGTTATAGCCACAAAGGATTAATAGCGCAATTACGTGGGCAAGTCACGAAAAGTGGAACGAAAAGTGTGTTTTGTAGGCAAAATCTGCTCCACAATCTCTCCTATTCCGAAACACTGTCATAAAATGATCTTTGATCTGCTTAGAGCTAAATTTCTTCACAGTTTTTTGAGTAGAAATAAAAGTATTGTCCCAAACGGACTACACATTCAGCATATTCCCATGCCTTAAAGCCTACCTTCCATCTGTGACCATGCTCAAACAGGTATCTATATTTGCCATTCAAAAGGAATTACATACATTATGTGCCAGCAATTGCAACACAACTTTGAACTTTGAGCATGGTTGTGGGGTCTAAAATTTCGTTGTCGTTTTCCAACAAACTAAACTTTCTCCCTGCCCTAATTGCATCTTGAAGTCTCGGTGTCTCGGAGTCTCCTAGTCGTCTGCCTAAGCCTTTTGACGGCGGGACAGGCCAGGACATGCCAAGAATTGCACACACACACACTCGTAGATGTAGCCGTTCATTCGGTTTTTGTATGCAACATCCAACTCGGGGACAATACATTACATTACATTACCTTCGACTGAGGTGGAAAGGAAAGGCTCCCCCTGCACATTTTAGTTGTGGAATTGAACTAGAAAATAACGAGAGAGAGAAAGAGAGTGGAAGAGAGAGAGCGGAAGACACACAGATGTTTACAATGTCCTCTTTTTCCGGGCTTTTCATTCGCATTCATTGGGGCTAAAACCCCGTACAAAAAACAAAAAAAAAGAGAAAATGAAAATAATATAAAGCGGAATAAGAACATGAACTGAACTCTTTTTCCGAATGATGGGTGGATCCCTACATGCTGTACGAGTGGATATATGTATATCATTGGCATTTATTTATTAACATAAAAACCCAGTGAACCATGGTCATGCCACCAGCCCCACATGTGGGTGCCCACTGTCCCCGCCCACCCTGTGCCACATTCCTTGTCTTCTCTTCTCTTCACTCATTTCATTTGTATTATTTTTGTATGTTGTGAACTTTCGTTTTGAAATGCGGCTTAAAAGAGCCACCAAACAATGATGTTACGGGGTCTATATACATATGTGGTATATATTATATATATTGGGGTATTACCTATATATTCGCTTGATTACTTAAGCCTCACCCTGTCGCTGGAGGGGTTGGAGGCCTCTTTTCAATTACCCAAAAAAAACGAAACCGAAACCGAAGCAGAGACAGAGACAGAGCTTTGTCTTTTGTCTCATTTTGTCGCTTCCGAAATATTGAAATGTGAGATGTGGGAGTGGTCTCGTGGCTATCTTTCTTTAAAAGCTTTAAACACGCCATGCGGTGGGGAGACTCTCCTCTCTCTATCCCCTCTCTCTTCTCTCTCTGCCGACTCGAACTTTTGTATTCACTATGATTGAGTCGCTGCAACGGATTATGAATGCAGAATGAATACCAGATGATGATGAGGTTTTATGGATGCGCGTTGATGGGCCAATGCCAAAAAAACTTTTTTTTTTGCGGGTGAGGGCGCACTCTGTGGCAGTGGCACGATGCTGGGGCGGGGGCAGTGTAACAGTGGATAATCGCGTTGGGGAATGGACATGCATTTAATTTTCAATTTTGAACGCTTTTCGCGTAAATTATGTGTGAAATGATTTCTCTTTTAGTTATGCAACGAAATTCGTGTATGGAAATTAAGGGAATTACTTTTTTGAAAGGGAATTATCTCTTTCGCAGAGTAGAAAGGGAGATTTATATGCCTTAAAAATAGATTAAAAATATCATTTAATATGTGGTGTAAGTTTCAGTAAAGTTGCAGTATCCGATCGGCCAGTTTTATTTACACTAAATTGTTGTAAATTATGGTAGGATTTATTCAACTTTCTTGAACAAAAACTTGCTTTAATTAGGAGACCCCAATCAGTTACAACTTTATAGCTTCTCCTCCTTCCAATCTCTGGTCAACTTCTTATCATTTAATAGTCCCCTTCTTGCCCCTCCACCTCTATGCTCTATATTTTGATCCATTGCACAAGAACAATGACAACAAAAGACTGTCATGGGGAGAAGGAATGGTGTGACTGGTAACTGGACACCAATCGGCATTGCCAGCTCTACGGATTGTGTTCCACATGCAACAACAAAAATAAACTAAAACTGAAAACTGTAAACCAGAAAAAATATGTTGACATCCAATGAATGTCCAAACAGTTTTCATTCTCCACCAGAGGAGTAAATGGGAGAGGGGTGTGAGGGGTGCGGGAGCTGCTGCTGATTCGGATTGGCGTTGCGTCTGGGTTTCTGTTTGGATGGATAGATGAATGTTGTTGATGGTGTGGTGTGGTCGGTCTGCAACATTGGCAACAGCAGCAGCATCAACCGCACCACATGATGTAGTCGTCCACCGCTCGATGGGTAGGCAGGAATCCAGGTCTCTCCTTCAAGCATCAACATCAATTTGCGTTGGGAAATCATTAACAGGCCCAGGCGGTAGATGGAAATGTGGCAGATTTGGGAATAGAGTGGACTATGGGATACCCTGGAAAGGATATACACAATTGGGAGAGGAATTTATTTAACATTTCTAAGATTATAGTTGTTCTTGGAACAAGATTTTTGTCCACAGATGAATTTTCCTCATGCTTTTCTTATCGCAATTCTTGCCCCCTATTTTGCACAGTGTACCTAGCAATGATGAGAAGCAGGAGCGAGAGAAGTTTTTCTTTCTGTTGCTCCTTCTTCATCGTGTCTCTTGCTCTTTTTGTTGCCGTGTGTGTGTGTGTCCATTGTTTGTGTATTGTTTACAAATAAATTAAACTTCTTTGATAATAAAAAGTAAAACAAGAGCAAAAGCTCCACATAATAATAAAAAAGGAGCAGAGCAGCAAAAACAATTGCATCATACGCAAACACACACACAAGCACAACAGACTCATATGGATTGCCACCACGCCTCTGCCGTGTCTGTTCCATCACGATGCCCTGCGTTGTTGCTGGTTGATCTATTGGGAACGTGCTGAGACATCCGCTCTTGCTGCTGGTGCTGCTGCTGATGTCCGCCAATGTCGCCGGCGGGCGCTTAAGCATTGTTATGTCATCATTACCAGAGTTGCCACCAACAGTAGCAGCAGCTGAAATGTGTGCCACAAGCAGCAGCAGCAGCAGCAGCAGCAGCAGCAGTAGCAACAAGAAACAACAGTGTGTGACCGGACCAAATGTGAAACGGCAATGCGGCGGACGCTGCACTCTGCGGTGGCTTTTGCTTTTGGCTTTGTCTGTACTTATTTATGCCCCCACACCACTCCATTTGCCATTCCATTCTCATAGCATTCCCCTACCCCTACTCTCTCTCTCTCTTTCTCTCCAGCACTCTTATACTCGCACACGTATTGAGCGAACGATAAAGCAAAGCTTACAGCTACAACAATGCATTAGTGCTCTCCATTTTGCTCTTCGCTTTGCTCTTCTTGTTGCTGCTGTTCTTGTGTTACCCTGCATAGGTAAACGGTGTAATGGTTCTTCAACTCTCTTCGAGGGTATCAACGCTTCGACTTTCAGCATTCCCATTTCTTGTTTCTGCTTCTAATAGACCTGCATGCATCGCTGGTCTCTCTTTTGCTCCTCCCTCTTCCTCTGCTGCTGCTGCTGCTGCTGCTCACACGCTTTGGTCACATTGAACGGCCTTGTACTACAATCCACCTTCTATCTCTGGGCACCTTTTGTGGTGCCATATGCGTACGCTTACACGAATGCCCGTGTGTGTGTTTCTCAATGTAATTCCTCTACATTCCAATGCAATTTCAGCTTATTGTCACGTCTCTCCCCGCTGCCCGGCCTTCCGTCGGTACACTTCTGTCACTCCTCCCTCCCTTGTTAGCTCCCCCTACTACTTATCAGCAGCACTTGAAGGCGCTAGAGGGGCGCCAGCGCTGGCGGCGATTAGAAGAGAGAGAACTTTGGTAAAATGACCATAAATATTTTATAAAGCCAATTGACTTGCATGCAATTACGTATAGAGTATGGGCCTGACGGCGTAATCAGGTATAGGTTAGAGTATGGGGGGGGAGGTTGCACTCCATAAAAGTTTATCAACCTTTCTGCCGTGGCTGTGGCTGTTGCTGTGCTTTATGTGTGTGTGGTTGCTATCGTTCTGTTCAGTTATCAGTTCCGTTGATTTGTTTGTCTCTCCTGCAATCGATCGATCGATCGATTAGACCACTGATGGGTTAAACTACTCTCTACATTCGCGCGCAGTGTCGCCTGGCCCTCAAAAAGAACAAAAAAGTGCTAGCTAGGGTCGGGTGGGGTCTCGGAGTCGATGAATGAATGGCTGTGCTGTGCCCTGCATGTTCGTGCATGTCGCTGGCTGCATACTTGCATGTGCGTGTGTGTATGTGTGTGCACTGCTTGTGTTTGTCCATTATGATTACTTTTGTATAACACATGCGAAATGCTGCCATGCCTTGCCTGCCCTTTGCTGCGGCTGCCACTCTGCTGCTGACAATAACAATAATTAAATTGATGTATTAGTCTATAGGGGGGAAAGCTGTTGTGTGTGTGTGTATGTGTGGCACGCATAAAATATCACAGCTTTTGTGCTTGTACTTTCCTCGTTATTCAATTTTTTTTGCTCTTGTTTTTTCTCTCATCAATTTCGATTAAGATAACAGTAAAGTAAGCAAACAGTAAACACAGTGAGTGCTAAAAGTTTATGAATTACGGTTTAATTTGTGCATTTGTTAAAAGATTGCAGTATACTTTTCGGTTTATGGGTTTGATTTTGAAGTTAATGAGATTTGGAATTGGAAGTAGTCCTGCAACAACCTGAAGCTTGGTTTGATTCCATTGTTCCTTCTCTTCGTTGTACATTTCGTCTCTCTTAGCTTAAGTTTCTCTTTATAGGAGCCTCTTCTCTTCTGTTGCTCAACCGTAACCTATTCTTATTGGCTCTCTTTGCTTAAGTTTGCTGCGGTTTTGCTGTTTTCAATCTAATTTTTGAGAGAAAAAGATCTGCACATCTTAACTAACTTTAAACCATGAAATCAAAACCTCAAAACTATTCTGTGGTTACATATTTTCCCTGATAAATTCCACTTAGCCACAGAGAAATCTCTGGCATTTTGACATTCCGTTATCCGCCAGCGGGTGAATGAAATGCAAAGTCAAGCCACACCAAAATTGTTGGCTGTTGCTGTTTTAATTGATAAAAAATAAAGAACTCCTCCGCTGTGGCAGCTGTTGCTGCTGCTGCTGGGGGGAGTGGAGCGAGAGGTCAGAGGTTTTCACACGAATAAAACAGAAATCAGTGACTAGGCAACAGGGACCAGATGGATGGTCTCAAGCCCTGCAGCAGCGGACGGCAGGCGGCTCCCACTCCACTGGCATGGCTCTGAAATCCGAGTGAATCTCCAGCTGCATGGCAAATGTGCAGCGCTTTGGCTGGCTAATGGCCCGCGGGGCAGTATACCGAACAAACTTTATCTGTGTGGCAGGCAACAACAGGCAACAGTAACGGTCCACATGCAAACCCTACTCTAACATTTTTCTCATTCTTTCTCTCTCTCTATCTATATTTTTCGGACGACAGGCATATACCCAAGGCCAAGGCAACGGCAATCGCTGATACGCCCGAATTGAAGCGCATTGCGGAGAACACGAAGATCCAATCGAATGTGAAATACCATGCGGACTTTGAGAAGGCCAAAGGCAAATTTACACAGGTACTCCCCCACATTCAGTGTATGAGAGGTTTTAACTGTACTAATTGTTGTCCGCCCACCCCCCATTTCCATTCCCATGAACCTCTGAAAGGTGGCCGATGACCCGGAAACGCTGAGAATCAAACAAAACACGAAGCACATATCGAATGTGGCATATCATGGGGATCTGGAGAAGAAGGCAGCCATGGAGAAGCAGCGCGGCTCCGCTGAGGTCTCCGATAGCAGCAGTGAGTACCGTTTCATTACTTCTCCCTCCTCCTTCCTTTCATTATTTATCTATAAATTTCCCCTTCACACTTCCAATCATCCTGTACCTTTGTTTCTGTATCTATTTACTAAACGCTTTATTCTCGCTCATTCGTGTGCAATAATTGTTTGTTAGCTTAAGTTTTTCTCTTGGAATTAATTTATGTTTGGAATTCAATTGATTTAATGTGTTTATAATTGTCAATTGACGTCATCTGCATGCAATGGCAATCGCAAGTTTGCAATGAAGCTTAACTAATGGTTAAATAGCAATAAAATAGAGCCTTCCCGTGACAGTGGTTAAAAAGTGTTCAAAAATACAAGTTACAAATTGTGAAAATCGAAAGAAAAGTGTCAAATTAGTATACAAATAAATATGTGATATGGTGCATGAGTTTTACCACACTAATCCTACTATAGTGTTAGAAAACTAGTGAAATATATATATAAATCTATTTTTTTGTTTGATAGAAATGCATTGTTATCTATTGTTTCAACTGTACAACATTTCAATTATTATATTTGATGAGTTTTCTTCCTAAACTGTCTTAATTCCTGACTTTCCAACACTTTTATTATCCACTTTTCAACTCCAACTTGCGTTACATATTTTTAACACTTTTCTTTATGTAAATCTTTATGCATTATCATTAAACCACTGTGCAACACTCATATGTATCTTTTTTGCATGTGTGGTGCAGCATGGAAATTTATCCACCATTTTCCATCACATTTCCATCGCTCTATCGCGTCACAACTGTCACACATTGTCATTAATATTGATTATAATTATGTTTTCTTTGTATTTTTTTGTTTTTGTTTTTCTACACTTTTTTTTGTGTCGGACTTTATTACATATCATTGGTTGCCCCTCCTCCCCATCCACATCAACAACAACAATCATTGAACAACAAACGACAATTGTCGCATAATTTGTGTGCTTTTCTGAACTACCGTTAACCTAACGACGAAACAACACACATACAAACACACACGCTACACAACACCATACTGCATTATACAACACTAACAACAAACCAAACTGTGGAACTCTGTGGAACGTACATAAAAATCAACTAAAATCGAACAAAATCATAGATGAATCGGAATATTTCTCTGAGCAATTGGCAGCTGAACAATTCTCGCAATATGCACCCACAGCCACATCACCCATACCGTCAGCAGTAGCAGCCACAGTGCAGCATCACCAGCAACAGTTGCAGCAGCAGCAGCAACAGCAGCAGCAACATCACTACCAGCAACAACAACAGCTGAAACACCAACAGCAACAGCAGCAACTGCAACAACAGCAACACCAACAGCAGCAACAACAACAACAATTTCTACAACAGCAACAGACACTGCCACCGCCACCAATACAACATCAGCAATACAACACAGCGGCCATAACACCCACATACCAACAGTTACAACAACAGCAACACCAACAACAATTGCAACAACAAGCCAACAATCAAAGGCAGCAACAGGCACAGGCGCAACAGCAACAACAACAACAACAACAACAACACGATCCCTATGCACACTATCAGCAGCCACAGGCACTGCGCCAACAGCAACAACAGTTGCAACAGCAACAGCAAGCCATTAAACAATCGTCACATCTGTATCCCACAGCACAATCGCAGCAGCCACAACAGCAGCAGGTGAATCCCTACAACGAGATGCGCTCGGCCATACTCCAGAATTCGCATCATCCCAGTGGCAATGCAGTGGAGCAGGTGGCACAAGTGCATCCTCAGGTGCAGCAGCAGCAGCAGCAGCACAATCCCACTACAGTGACAGCAGTAGCTTCAGGGTCACATCATAGCCATTTGAATAATAATCCCAGCAATGGCGGCACGGTCAACAGCTATCATAGCGTCAACAGCAACAACAATGGATCCCAACAGATGCAGATGCGTCGATCGGTGGCCAGCGCAAGTGTCTACGATGGCAGCAGCAACAACAGCGACATTAGCCAGCAGCAGCAGCAGCAGCAGCAGCTGCAGCAGATGAGGAGCAAGCACAGCGGAACAGCTGTAGGAGGAGGAGCAGCAGGTGGTTCCGGCTCGGGATCAGCCATACAGCAGCTCTATGCCTCACCCAATTATCAATCGGTGACGCCATCGGAGAATGCTCTAAATGTGGTCAATGGACACGTGTCCAATCATCAGCAAAAGATGATGCCCGTTGGCAGCAGCAACATTGGAAAGATTGCCGACTATGATCCACTGACAGATGGTCCAAGGGGGGTGCCAGGCTCTGGTAGATCCACGACAACGCTGGTCTATAGCTCCGACCCGCAACAGCAGCAGCAGCGAGGTGGTAAGTAGGCGGCTAGGGCTAGCTGGTAGTTCAATAGACCGCTTGATGTGTCAACCCATCATCTCAGTCATTTGTGTCCTTGTCCCAGACATAATCCTTTAAAGAGAACATTCTTCAATTCATTATTTTGTGTTTGTGTCTGTAGGCAATAGTGTGTATCCCAAGAGGATTGGCTCTGTGACGGATATTGATCCAGCAAATGGCATCTATGGCTCGTTGAGTGGCGCCGAGCAGGCCCACGCCCAGAAGCATCAGCAGTACTATGCACAGGTGCAGAAGATGCAGCAACAGGAGCAGCAGTTGCAGCTGCAGCAGCAACAAATACAGCAGCAGCAGATGCGACAGCAGCCATCGTATGATTCCTCGATGCAGGCGAATCAATCGCGTCAGAACACAGCAACAAATTCGGTAAGTGGAAGACCAAATTCAGGCAGAATTCTATCTAAAACTCTTTCCTTTGCAGCGCCTCTATAAGGCCATCTATGACTATGAGGCGCAGGACGTCGATGAGGTGAGCTTCCGCGAGGGCGACATCATATACGAGGTGGAGTCCATCGATTCTGGTTGGATGACGGGCCGTGTGGAGCGGACGGGAAAGACCGGCATGCTGCCCGCCAACTATGTGGAGCATGCGGTTATATAATAGGGAATGTTCTACTACTGCTGCTGCCGCCAGCAGTTTGTGGTGATCCTCGTCTGCCTGCTCTACATCCTCCTTGTGCTCGTGTTCTTTGTGAATGTGTTTCTCGCCGATCGGAATATGCACACGCATCTCATGATGAAGAATGCGGGCCACCACGGACATGGACACGGCGGCGGCGGCGGAGGAGGACTTGGAGCTGGTGCAGGTCCGCCTGTGGGAGGACACCACAATCCCTACGACATGCATGGCTATCCGCACTACAACAACTACCATCCGCAAATGGATCCAAAGCAGCAGCAGCAGCAGGAGCTGCTACGCAAGACACCGCCCAATCCGAACCAGCAGCAGCCCGAGCAGGACATTTACTCTTATTTCAATCACGTATTTAGGCGGCGACGTCGATGAGCAGCAGAAGGGAGAAGTAGATGTAGGATGGACCAGGATCCTATCCAAAATTTGTACCACATTAAATTATTATTATTTCGATAAAAATTATGAATATATACGAGAATATATATAGCCAAAAGCAGATTGTGTAAAAAGTGAAAAGGGTTAAAAATGGATCCAAAATCCGTGACGAAACAAGCTATGTTTCAGCTATGAATCGGGCACGATCCAATGCATTTCCGATACGATGCGTAAATTTATGTAGCGAGCGACCAAGCCACGAGCCAACAGTTTGCATTTATCTACAGCGAATGATGTTCCATAAATGGAATCAGCAACATTTATTAGATACAGCAGATATTTATTGATCGATATATACAGCTGATTAATCAGATAAACTAGATATGCTATATAGAGCTAACCCCCCCAATCAACATATACAACAGATATCAACGGATATATCTACCATATATAGATAGCTAAAATAATGCTTCGAAACTACAAAATTTGTTCTAATTTAATTAGATATTCTCTCATACAAAAAACAAAAAAACATCAAACATATAATTATGTTTTTTCTAGGGCTTTTTAAAAGCTTCGCCTTTATGCCGATTGTTCAGATTGTGCATATCGCGTTATCCCTACAATTTTTGTCAATTTATCCAAAAGAAAATAGAGACAGAAAATCAAAGGATAAATTTGTTCTTGTTTTTCTTGTGTGTTTTTTTTTGAGTATTGTGTTAGGTATATAAATATTGTTTATGTTTCCATATGCTAAACATTATATACATTATATAGGATATATATTTATGTATATTCCGATCTACGAGTATATGTTGGATTCTAGTGTTAGAAGAAAATGTGTTGCGTTTCACATGAGAAGAAGATATTTGAGAAAGTGCCTTTAATTTGCTATAAAAAAAGAAAGAAAACATGTTTTTTAGATACAAACCAATTTACTAATAAATCAATTAAATATATATACCATCAACCATAGCTTATACAGACCATAAATCCAATACAAACTTCCAATAACGAAGCGAAACGAAACGAAACAATTCTTTATACGAAATACAACAACTTTATCCATGTGATTTGAGTAGAGAAGCAATGGCAGTCACGCTATTTATACGACAGATATTTGTATTATTAACAAACACACACCACACACATTAGCTATAGACAGCAAACAACTAATAACAATTTCATACATACTATATGCATTAATGAATGCTTCCAAGAGACAGGGAGGAGGAGCTGAAATAACGCCTAACAATTAAATGAATTATTCTAATTGCAAAATGGAAATGGAAAGCGGATAGCAGGAGCAGCGCCAAAGGCTTCCTTTTTGTGAATGTGTTACAAATCAATAAAAGAAAATCTACAAAAATAATTGAAGGTTTTTGTGTTGTTATTAGAGATAATTAAAATAAAAAAAGAGAACAGGCGAAGCAGAAAGGCAAACGATTGCCACAGAAAAGGATAAGGATTTTATGATAAGGAAAATTATTGCTTTTGGTTCCCAACATTTACCTTTATTGTAGGTTAATAATTGTGTCATTTTCGTGTGTGTTTTTCCCCATAAACAGAACTAAAGTTGTAAACAATCAAAACTCAAGAAATCTTGTTGGAGGTCTGCTCCTCCTTCAGAGGCTCTCGCTGGTGGGTGGCTCAGGCAGGCCAGGCAGCTGTTTCTGAGCTGCTGTCACATCACCACCCGAGATGGTGCCCTCATGTGCGCCCATTATGGTCTCCAGAATGATGGTCTTGGAGTTTTGCATGGTCTCCTCAAAGAATTTGGCATCTGCGATCTTCTCCTCGGTGACATAATCGAGTTTCTCCGACAACATGGCAATCTTCTCTTGAGCGAGCTCCAATCTGCAGGAAAAAGGAGTAAGGTGTGAAAATATATACAGATATGGATGCACTTACTGATTTTTGAGATCCTCTGTTTTAGGCTCCGTGGAGTTGTTGCTGTTCAGAGTGCTGGCCGATTGATAGTGGGATTGATTGTCGAAACAAAACGAACCAATGGATCCGTTAAGAGAAGTGCGACTCAGCGAGCTGGCATACTCGGCCATTCGCTGTGTGCGCTTCTTCTTATCGGACTGGATGTCCAGTTCCTTTTCCATTTCCCGAATCTTTGCATCCATGCGGCTAAGGCGCACCTTCAACTTGGCATTCTGCTCCTGAATGCCCTCGTTCTTGGTGCGCTCCACGGAGAGACGCTCGTTGAGACTCTTGGTGAGGAGCATTAGCTGATTTTTCTCCACCTCCAGGGCATCCAGAATGCCCACAAATTCTTCCTGTCATCAGAGAGAGATTTTAAAAGGGATTTTAAGCGTGCGAGTGCTGCGCTTACCTTGCGAAACTCGCGACAGGAGAAGAGGAAGCCACCGGAGAGTGCACGCAAATCCATTTCCAGTTTCTTCACCATTTCCTGCAGACTCGTGATGGACACCTCCTTCTCTTTGAGTAACGTCTCCAGCTCCAGATACATGCCACTTAGCTCGTCCAGCTGCCGTCTGGCTACATCGCGCTCCTCCGTCATGCGTGCCAGATCCGCGCGCATGTCGTCCAGCCGCTGCTCGTACTGATAGCGCTGGCGATCGAGCTTCTCGCCCATGGTGCTGATGTTGATGCCATTGTAGTCGGTCTGCTCTTCCAGCTCTGAGGAGCGCATCTTGTACTTGGCCACCTCCTCGTTCAGCGTCTTGTTGCGCACCTTGAGGGCCAGCGTGCGGTTGCGCTGCTCCTCCAGCTGCGTCTGCAGGTCCATGATGTGCTTCTCCAGTGCCTCCACCTTGGCCTGGTGCAGGATCTCGCTTTTGCGCACTCCAGGCGTGAAGCGATCAAAGGTGGCACCGCCGCCCAGACACTCTGCAGCGACGCTGTTGCCCCGCGAATGGGCAGAGGCAGAAACACAATCCAAATCCGAGCCCACGGCAATGGGCGCATATTCGGAGCGATCGGACATGCGCTCCTCGTAGTACTCCACGCGGGCACGCAGCTCCTGCACCTTCTGCTGCAGATTGAGAATCTGCTGTGCACGTCCGCGCCAATTGGCCTGATTGAGATTATTGGCCAGCAAGTTGATGTTGCAGCTCTCGCCGATCTCATGCTGCAGGCACTTTTGGGCGAGTTTCAGTTGGTTCTGCAGCTCCGTGTTTCTGTTGCGCGACTCGAAGAGCTTCTGCTGCATGGCCGTCAGCTTTGCCTGCAGCTCCTCCGCCGAGTTTACTTTCTTGAGCAGCTCCTGATGCTGTTGGATCTTCTCCTCGTTGGCCTTGGCCTCGCGCTCCATTTTTACAATCAGCTGGTCCTTCTTCTCCATGCGATTCTTCACCTGCTCCAATTCGGCGCGCATCTGGCGATTCTTTTTGCTCAGCTCGAGGATCTTGGTGCCGGCTATCGAGGAGTTGCAGCGTAGCTCGTCAATAGGCACCGAATTGAGGACATCGTTGAGCGAGTCCACGGATCTCTTTAGTGCCACAATCTCCTTGTTCTTGTCGCTGATGGCCTTGGTCAGCGACTCATTCTCGTGCTCGAACAGCTCCAATTTCTTTTTCAATCTCTTGGAACCTTCCGCTTTGGTGCCTTTGGGCTTCACGGCCGTTGTGGCTACCACCACAGCGCAGTCAACTGGGGCACGCCGACGCGGCTTGATGGGTTGCTCCTGGGCCAACGCCTCGGGCAACGTATCCATGGCGGAAAATATTTAAATATACAAAATTATAAGCTAAGCTTCGTTGGCGGCAAACGCTTCAATAAATTGTGTAAACTATGTGTCTGTGTATCGGTTACGAATATTCTCAATTTTGTTGTGCGATTCACAAATTTGGTTCTCTCCAAATTGAATTTAACAGAACGTTCATGGCAAACCAAATATCAGATTTGAGTTCAATTTTGAAAAGTCACCGCCAATTCACACTAGTTGGAGCGGAACTCTGGTTCGGTGAACTACTAGCTATCGTAACTATCGTATATACTCATGTACAATAAGCCAAATTGAGTCTTCAATTGGATAAAGGTGTTAAAAGTCTTTGCAAGCTAGTAATATCAAATGGAACATCAAAATCGAGGAATATCATTTAAGACTACTTTATAATTACGGTATACTTTTAAAATGAGAAGGTATATTTGGTATATTTCTGAGGGTCTTTCGGTATATTTTATCGATAGTTCCGCGGTCACATTGTGACGTGTAAAAACACGAAAACACTAAAAAAATGGACGGATTTATGATGGTAAATGTTGAAATATAACAATTGATTGACTATTGCTAACTATGATCGTACGCTGCAGGATATTATCAAGGGAATGTGCATCATGGACAATGACGGCAACCGCATTCTGGCCAAATACTACGACAAAAACATTCTGTCCACGTTGAAGGAGCAGAAGGCTTTCGAAAAGAATCTGTTCAACAAGACGCACCGCTCCAACACAGAGATCATCATGCTGGACGGCCTCACCTGTGTGTACAAGAGCAACGTGGATCTGTTCTTCTATGTGATGGGCAGCGCCTACGAGAATGAGCTCATTCTGCTGTCGGTGCTGAATTGTTTGTACGACTCCATCAGCCTCATTCTGAAAAAGAATGTGGAGAAGCGCCTGGTGCTGGAGAATCTGGAGATTATAATGCTGGCCTTTGATGAGATCTGTGATGGAGGGTGAGTAGTGAATGAATGTAGCTACTGTGGAGCTGGGGCTAATGTTTGCCTTTTGTTTGCAGCATAATTCTGGATGCGGATCCCTCGTCGGTGGTGAAACGCGTCGATCTGCGCAACGATGATATTCCCATTGCCGAACAGACCGTTGCTCAGGTAACTAGCACACTAAATGGTCTCTTTTGGTAGCGCCCCCAGACCCACACACACCCCCCTGCCATCTCTTAGTTCTTAGCCTCCATCGATCAATCGAAAAACTTTAATTTTGCTCACTATTATTTATAAGTAGTACGACTACAACCAGACTTAGTTTTACTTTCTTTATGTTTCAATTCGTTCGTGTTGAGTTCCCCTAAAGTGCCTAGAAACTTCCATCATTGCGTTATGTACTTCTGATCAAATAAATATTGTTTTAAATGTCTTCAACTTTGACGCTGTGCAGTGAGTTTTTTGATTTCATTTAGCTAATTGAACGACCAACCTTTGTATCTATCTCTGCTTTTTGTATCTTTGCCATTCTATATGTGTATGTGCTATCTTTCAGGTACTACAATCGGCGCGCGAGCAACTCAAATGGTCCATACTGAAGTAGGAGGCTGGCGCGCCACTTCCGCATCGTGTCTGTCGCAATACATTCGATACTTTCCCCCGCTCCAATTGTTTCCGACTAGCTATAAAAACCCATAATACAGATTTATATATATAAATAATAATATATTTAACTAGAGAGATCCGTGTGCATGTTTCTTAATGGGATTAATCACTAATCTAATCGAACTGCTTAAGGGCTTTGGGCTGCAGTCTGTGAGCTGCGTAGTTATTAACTAGCAAATTGCTGTATCATACTGAGTAGACCATAGAGTTATCAAAGTTGGGGCTATTGTAAATCACTTGTATTTGGAGTGTCATTGGCTCTCATGTAAGGGAGCTGGAACCACCAGCCTTTTTTAAACATTTACTTAAAAATTATGTTTTTGGGTGGATTAGAGGGTATGTTGCTGCTTCGACACATTCTTGTTAATCAGTAAGCGGTGGGCTACTCTGCTTATCTTAGAACTTAACTCTTGCTTGACTTTATCTAAAGGTTTCGCATGCAGTTAACCAATGACAGGACTGACCCAGTCGCATGATGGCATTATCTCTCTCTCTCTCTCTCTCTCTCTCTCTGAATGCAAATTGTGTAGTGTGAAATGTTGTAATGTCATTGGCAATCACGTTTGCAATGGCTACTCATAAAATCTTGTAAACAAAGCCCAGAAGTACGTCATAAACACGTGAGCAGACGCTGCTCTCATATAACAATAACTAATCCCGTGAGTTCCACAGTGCTCTTCACCAAATCTTTACGATAAGTGTTAGGGTGGTGTAGTGTTTGTTGTGTGGCGAGTTTGAAGTGATTATAAAGCGATTAAGTATTGATTAAGAATGGCACAAATTAAGACAAGAAATTCTATTTTCAGCGGCCCTTTTCGAGCCATTTTGTGTTTGCCCCACAAGGGATCTTCTGTCCCACAATTATTTATAGTAATTGTTGGCTTAGCTTTAGTAGCAGGCAATCGTCTCAGAAATCGTACAATTACATCATTCTACTTGTTCGCAACTTCATTTAGCAACTCCTAAAATGACTTCATTTGATATCTGTATGATTCAGTTGTTTGTTTTTTGCAGCCTGCCAGAGCATGGCTATCATTCAACTTCAACCCGCTGCTCATCTATCATTTGTAGACCATTTGTACCAGCGGTACCACCCATGAACCGCAGACGTGCTCCACGGGACCTCTCTGGTCCCGCCCCTGCCCAATCGCCAGCCACTCTTTTAATCAACTGCTTGTCAACATTTTAGCAGTGCAAAAAATAAAACCAGGAATAAAGGCAGCACAGTTGGGAGTGCTGAACCGAAGTATTTGATACACTTGTGAAGCGAACGCAGATTATGCAAAAATCATCAAGGAAGAGCAGTCCCCTTTGGGCTGATGAGTATCTGAATATTACAGGTCCATAATTTTTTGTGGATTATCGTTTTTGGATGGATGATTAATCCGTTAATGCCCGACACACGTTTGAGAGTATAAAACCAAATAAACACACACAATATTAAGCTGCCACCCACTTGGGAGTTCGTTCAGGTTTATCTGCTCGTATTTTGTTGTTGAATTAGACAAACAACAAGCAGCATTGTGAAGAGCAGGAGCTATATATCTATCAGGTGTGTACACATGGTATTGTATTGTGTCTGATATCAGGGCCACAGCCATACGTGATGGATTGCCTAGATCACGTTTCCCCCCAAAGAGTCTGCTGCTGACGTGTCTCTCAGCTGCAGTGACTTCGTCCTAAAAACTAAGAGAGAAGAAATTCTGCTTTCATGCTCAGGATTTCTAAAAGTACAGTTACGTTTTGCTTACTAATTTATACCCGATATCGGGTTTCTCAAGTATGCGCCAAGTATTTTGTATTATCAACGGCAGATTACTTGCAATGAAATTGTTTCGTTCCACATGATTAGCGCCACCGATCGTTCCACATGCGTTCCAATCGAATCACTATTTATGATCCCTCCCGAGCGAAATCAGATTTATATAACGCTAACGAAATGGCCATGTGTGTAATTTGGGGGATAGGACTCTAGCTCGTATTTAGCATTCAGTTGTCGTTGCCGCCTCGAACGATACGATAGAGATTTGTGTGTTGTTTTGTGTCTTGTGTCGTGTTTGCCTTGAAGATTCCGCGGATTCCGCAGACGGAAATCAACAGAACAGGCCACCGACGACATCTGATCTTGAATCCAATATCAAGTAACAAATCAAATCCCGACGACTGATACTGATTACTGGGAAATGAATGCACACTTCTTTTGCGGGTTTGTAGACATCAATCGATTGGCATTAATTCCCATGAATTCATTCTCGTAAACAAAATAGTTAACATTCCATTCCCAATAAATGTCTACTCCAGCAGTTGTTCAGTATCGCTGGAGAGTCTCTCTTGCTGGTAATCGAATTATTGGTACAAAGTATCATGGGTCTGGCGCCTGAATCGTGTATCCGCCGTATCCGTGTGTTTCGTTTGTATGTGGGGGGGCTCGATCCATAAAATCACTTTACGACCCTCGCTCGATTTTGTAGGAAAATTTTCGCTGACATGAGACAGAGCCATGCCCAAATATGACAGTCGGGTGACTCCTCCAGATTCTGTCTCCCTGCCAGACGGTTGTGCAAATAAAAACAAATAAATCTATAAAGTGGGTCTAAAGAGAAAGAGGAGGAGAAATCAGAATCGGAATCAGAATCAGAATCAGAATCAGAGAGAAATCATACTCGTGCGACTGTCCGATAAGTGGGTGGCTCGCACAGTTAACGACCTTGGGGGTGGAACTTATAACAGCTTGCTGGAACACCAACAGCTCCCCCTCCACTGCAGCATGGGGTTCAATGTTTCAATAACAAAGATGACAATCGCCTCTGGCAGCGAACTCCCTTGAACCAGCCCCAGACAGCCTTTGGGTTAGCAACAAACTTCCGACGATCTCTGGTCTCTGGTTACCGAGTGCCCCAGCAGATCTACGGACAAAACCCTTAAGCTGTAATACAATTTACGAGCCCCCCAACCACAGGGAGTGGGTCAAATCCCCAGTGGTTATGAACCATCATCGGAGTCAGATAAGAGCTGCAAAAAGGCTTAAGTAGAGGCGCTGTAGTTTTTTTTTTTTTTGGGCTGTATTTTAATTACATGTTCGCTCGAGTGTTTTGTTTGAAGTGATTGAGTGGAGGCGGAGTCCATCGAAAAAAACATCGCAGTTGCTTGCAAAACAGTTGCCACACAGCCAGTATGCAAACATTGTACAGGCACTGCACTGCACTCTGTCCAGCTGCAATCTGCAGCTTTTGCCTGATCCTTGACTTGCACGTAGAGTGGAGTGGTTTGGTTTGGTGTGTGTTTGGGTTGTCAAGGGCTGTCCAAAGAGTGGAGCGGGAGGAGTAGGAGACCCTCAACGAAGGGTTATATTCCATTACGAATCCAAAGCTGTGTGGGGGAGGAATGTGCACTCGATGGTCATATGATGTACAGTTATTGCACTCTCTTCTCTCTTCTTTAAGAGCTTTCGTTCGTGCGTTCGTTCGCTCGCGCTCTCTTTGGGAGTAACTGTTTCTCTTTCGTTTCGTTTGTGTGGCTGTTTTACACGGAGTGTGCGTGTCCAGGGTTCGGGTTCGTGTTCGATTTCTCTTGCCCCGCTATCTTATCAATGATATTGTACATTCTTACTTTGAACACCCGTACAAGCAATTAACAAACGATTCGCGGGCTGCCATGAGCAGCGGCATCGGCAACCCACAAGCCACCCACCGCCCTCTCTTTCTCGCTCTCTCTTTATCTGCCCTGCCTTCGTTCCGTATTATCGCTCGGCTGCAGGAACTGATATTTAAGAAATCGCTCCATTCGCTTCAACTTTCAGTGCTGTGTGAACCATAAAACGGTGTTAGACGTGTTCGGAACACCCCTAACAAGAAAGTATAAAAGCAACGAGAGAGAAACACACACAGAGCTTATTCCCACCCAGAGTGACAAATGGATATTATTATTATTATTAAAGTGACAAGAACTCAAGTGCTCGATAAACAGTATACTAGTAAAGCCAAAGAACTGCAATCACAAAGCGAAGGAATTCAAAGTATTCAACAATCAACATCGTGCGTGTGTTAAATCAACAAATAAAATAATAAAGAAAAAATAAGGTACCCTCGCAGACAACTTCAACGGAAACATAATCAATCGCACAATTGATACAACACTCAGAAACATGAAATTAAGGTTAGTATTTATTAGCCTACGGTTCTTGGAATCTGATTCTTCCCCTAACCCCCCCACCCTATCAGTGGAAACTGATACTCTGCTAAATCAAATCCCCAAAAAGCTGGGACTTCCAATCATCGTGATTAGCTAAAGTCAGAGCAGCCCACTAAAAAAGAGCTTTCCTGGTATCAGGAGTACGTGATTAATGATATCGTGTCGCTGTCAATATATTGGATATTCCAATGGTCCCCTCCCCGCTCATTTCTATATTGGGATTAATCATACTCTGCTTTCAGGAGAGTCCCGCACGCAATCAGTCTGCTGCCGGTCTGTCTGTTAGATAGCAAAAATTAACTCTCTAAGTGGACCCATCGATCAGCACCATTTGACCTTTACGAAATCAATTAGCTAGCCAATATGTGAACATATGAAGTTCATTCTATTGGGAGTACATTTAATCTATATGACTTGACGGTGGTCTGCCAAAAGGTCAGTGGGATGGGGATCCATTTCTCTGTCAAATCTTTTGGGTGATGCAATTTTTTCTTCCAATTGCTTACAGCTGGCGTGTAATCTCTGAATAAATTATATGGTTACTTGTTTTGATTAGCTGCCCACGTTTCCAGCCCGACACCTGTCACAATGGGCAGTGCTTTGCGCTTTTATTGGTTTTCCCTTCATAGTTTTTTTTGTTGCCAGGCAGGCAGGCAGGAAGGCGGCGTATGGTGGGGACTGAGGTCAATGGACAACCCATTGGATTTCCTTTTTCTGGTTTTGGGTTTTCTGTAAACAGCCATAAACTGTAGCTGTAGCTGTGGCTATTGGCTACATTTATGAAGGCCCCCGTTAAAATCAATCAAGTATGAAATTGCAGTGTGTGCCGTAAAGATAACAACACCCACCTAGAAATTCCCAATCTCATTCCTATTTTCCACTGAAAGTGGGTGGGAAATATTTATGATTCATCACAAGGATCGACCTCATCTTTGGTGGATAGGTTATGGTTTATGACCCCCAAAATGTAACATTTAAATGGAAAAACGCTTCATCATGCAATAGAGAGTGTTAGAGAGAGAGAGAGAGAGAGCGTTACCCGTGGCTGATGGTGCATTCGCTTGATAACACTTTGGATCGGTTCCCGTATCGTATCTCTGGAGTGGCGGGCGCCTTGATAAGCCTCAAAATCCAGCCAGAGCCATTGGTCTTGAGTAAGTTTTGGCAATCGCCCAATTAGAATTGCCCCTCATAAAGTTTGCAAGCGCCCTGCCCAGCCCCAGCCACAGCCCCAGCCCCAGCCCAAGCACAGCCATACCATACCCCAACGCTCGAATCGAATTCGTTGAACGATTTCCACCTGACTCAAATGGCGCTATATAAACCAGTACCATTAATGCCTGCTGGTGCCAAAGTGCGTTTGGTTTTTGGGGGCTTGCAGAACATTTCCACTCCGCTGCCAATTACTGCAATTAGTGGCCCCAAAAACTGGATATGGGATACGGTTTGTGGGGCAATCTTTCCGTCTGGAATTTGCTATTGCCAATCACTTTTGATAGCTTCATTCATGTTCGAGTTTCAGTGCCAGGGATAGCCCATAATTCGAGTAATATTTCATCATCTACTGTGATTTCTATAAGCAATTCGATTTTCTATATGCTCCTGCCTGAAATGGTCGGAACACGCCCACTTTTGTCTCTATATCTGATCTGTGCTCGACTGCTAATTAAAGTTTGTACTTCTGATACTCGATGGGCAGGGGGGAATGCTTTGTTTTGTATTGGCAATGCGTCAGTTTCGCTTTCAGACCGTCACCCACTACGATGCCGATTCGGGTCCATTGCGGTTTTATCTATTGCGTATTCTACGTTCTACCAGCACCAGTATCTGTATCTGTATCTTGGCTATGTGTGCTTTTAATTAAACATACAGTCGCATCAGGGCCAAACGTGAATGGTTAGAGCTTGTGGCTGGAGGAATGGCATGGTCTCGACGGCGGCCTCTGTGTGTTGCGATTCGGGGTGTATGCAAACATTTGCCATTCTCTATATATAGATCTCTCTGTGTCTCTGCTTTTTTCCCGCTAGCTAGCACTGATCGTGTTGACCATGTCGCGTGTGTTTTCCTTAGAAGTCGCAAAACAAGTCGCTAAGTAAATTTGCTTTCTTTTTCCATTGCAGACCTTTGCGATGGTTGCGCCAGCCGTCGGCTAAACAATCAACCGCCCAGAAGGAGGAGCTGCAAGTGGTGCGCGATCACATGATCAAGGACATGCAGAAGCGCTTCGGCGATACACCCGTCAAGATACTGCTGCTGGGCACTGCCGAGTCCGGCAAGACAACCATCTTCAAGCAGATGAGAATACTGCACATAAATGGATTTACGGATGAGTAAGTTACAGACTTGATCTTAGCCCTGTCTCTGTACTCAAGGATGTACTCCCACTCTCTCTCTAGTGAGCGTCGCGATCGCATACCTGAAATCTATCAAAACATCCACGACTCTATCCATCAGCTGGTGCTGCAGATGGGCCTCCTGGGCCTGGACTTTGGCAGTTGTACCAGCGAGCGCAGTGCCGACTATATCCTGTCGCTGCCCGGCGGCGCACCGGACTACATGAATGAGGTGAGTAGGAAGGGGCTTTGACATTATCTTATCCCTGCTCGCCTGCTGCACTTCAGAATGTTTTTTCTGTCGCAGTTGTTGTGTTGGTATCAAGCAAACGACTTTGAAGTTGATACAAGCTTTAGGACTTGCGTCAAATCTCCTGCTCGTTTGCTATCTCCATTCATGTATCTGGCGGTGTGATTGATTACGATTACCCATCCATTAGATTGTGTTGTGGAATGTGTGGAAAACTTTCCAAACAAGTGTTTCTGGTGTTTGTCCGATCGGACTTCCTCGAAAATTACTTTTGATTTTGCACACAGCTGCAACGAATGGCCTTTGATCGTCGCCCGCCTCCAGCCTTCTGAATCATCGCTGTCCAGAGCGTTAAGTAAAGAGAGTCTTTCTATCTTTTATTCTCTGGTCATTATATGGGCTTATACGGTGCGATAAGATTAAGACAATACTTTTTTTTGAGGGTGGTGGGTGGTGTGTGGTGGAGTGGAGGCCACATGCCAGTCAGCCAGTCATTCATGGTTTTATGCTTTACCTAATGACTAATAACTAAACATTGAACATTGTTTATTTGCATTTTAGGAGTACTGCGACCACGTCATGACTCTGTGGAACGATGTGGGCATCCGTGCCTGCTACGATCGCTCGAATGAATTCCCCCTGCTGGACAGTGCCAAATAGTAAGTGATATTCAAGGTCATCAAGGAATCGCCTTACTAAAGGGTTTATTTTACAGTTTTCTCGACAACTTTGTGCGGATCAGCGACTGCGAGTATATACCCAGCACAGAGGACATTCTGCACAGTCGGAAGATCACCACGGGCATCTCGCAGATCACGTTTCGGGTGCCCGTGCCCAAGAGTCTGGGCGGCGGCGAGCAGGAGTTTCGCATGTACGATGTGGGTGGACAGCGGGATCAGCGCAACAAGTGGATTCAGGTGTTCGAGGGCATACAGGCGGTGCTGTTTCTCGTCTCGTGCAGCGAATTCGATCAGAATCTGCGCGAGGATCCCAACCAGAATCGCCTGGAGGAGGCACTGAAGCTGTTTCGGCGCGTCTGGCAGAACCGTTTCCTCGCCTCCGCCGGCCTGATTGTGTTTATCAACAAATACGACATCATGGAGCGAAAGATCAGGGCCGGCAAGCACATTGTCGACTATTTCCCAGAGTACGAGGAGTTCTGCAAGCGGCCGCAGCAGGATAATTGCTTCGATGAGTGCGACTGGACGAAGATGTTCATCAAGCAGAAGCTCGTGGACATCACCCAGGAGCCCTTCAAGCGTCATTCGCGCAACAACAGCGATCTGATCACCTCCGAGCGTGAGTGCTACTACCACTTCACCGTGGCCACAGACACTCGCTGCATCCGTGAGGTGTTCAGCGATGTTCAGAAGATGATCCTCTCTGAGAATATGTCCGGAACGGGTCTATTCTAGTGCGGAAACCTTGCGCACGCTCGCTCTCTCTCTCTCAGGCAGGGAGTAGTGCTTGCTCCCTGTACCAACTGTGATCTTACTTAAGTAGGAATGTAGAACCCTAGATCATATTCGTACTTGTATTCATTATACGTTTGTTGTATAATGTGGCATACACACTATACAACTGAGACAGCTTTAATATGATTAATTTAAAAGGAGTTAAAGGAGTTTATTCCTAAGTAAATAAAAAACTATGAAACACATTAACAAAGAAAATCAATGCTCTCATAATTCTTCCAACTAAATTATTAAACATTTCTGGGCAGCGATCTGGCGCAATGAAAGTCACATTCGAGTGGAGATTTTGTCGGGTTAGCTTCTCGAACAAACGAAGCGAAGACTGAGCGAAGATTGCTCAGGCAAGCAGAATTCTGGCTCCAGTTTTTATGAGATTCGAGTATAAACAAATCGACCAAGAGCAGATTTTGTGTGTGGTCTGATGTAATTATGTAAGGTGGTGCCGTCGGCTGCTTAATCGCTTCGTTTTCGCACCCTTAGCGTTCAAAATACATACAGATAAAGAAAACTTCCTCTTTTTCTTGCAATGGTCAACTTCTAACGCCATGCCATTAAGGGGCTAATCAACACACTCTATTTTCGTTTCTCTCACACTTAATAAGCAGAACCCTTTCACTGGCTTTTGTTGACAGCACTGTTAGCGGACGGGGCCACCTTGTATAATTGCACCATGGGATGGATAATGCTTGAATATTTTTCCCCAACTTGATTTTTGCAACACAAGCAGAACTTCCTGATTAGATATGAATTTATTTGGAATAAAAATACGAAGCTGGCATACAATACAAATACAAAATGTTAAATGATGCACATTTATGCACTCTTATCGTGTGTTCAAATGTCAAATAGTTGTGAAATTTCATCGTAGTTGCCATTCTGCTGAGCATAGAGAAGCTCCGAAAGTAATTTTGAAGCTGTGGAGTAGCATTTGTGGCGTTCCCCAAGACTCATACGATCAAAAATGTTTTGTTCTCTTGCCAAAATGAACTGCAGTCTGCCATTTAGAAGACACTCTACCAAACAGTTCCACATCTTCATGAAGAGAGTTGCCAAATCGGTGTTCCAGTTGACTTTTCCCAATTGTTGGAGCAAGACCGATTTCAGCATGTAACTGGACAAATGGGGAAAATCGTCCGCATGAGCGTCGCGCAATCCCTTCATGAGGCGCAAAACATTTTTAAAGTTATTCAAATCCATCGTTAGCTGGCGTTCCCAATGCGGGGCACATGCCATAAAGGTACGATCGTCCTTTGAGCCCGGCTTGGATTGCGGCACAGCGAACCATGGGAACTTGCGTATTTTCTTCTTGCGGCTGTTGTAAAGGGCTAGATTGCCCAACGGCCACTGGGCCCAATTGAATTCAAATGCTGGCACTAAATCGAACGATATGTTTCGGTTCTTCCCTTCAGCTTCAATGGTGTGGGCACATCCGTAGCCCTTGGCCGTATACATTAGTTCATATACTTCTCCAGACTTGCAACGAACACTTAGCTCCGAGTCGAATACCTTTTCGAATGCTTCACGTAGCCAATCTTGGAGCTCTTTTCGATTTATGTAATTGTCGGTAACAATGGGATGATGATTGTCGATTGCATACAAGAACATGAATCCTTTCTCGTCCTTCTGGGGGGTAATTGGGAATGGTAGTTTCAGCACCATATGCAAATCGAATTCATCAGGAGTCTTCAATTTCACCCTGTCCAAGTAGCTTCCTGATGGAAAAATAGCATTAAGCATTGCATATTTCAAGTGGGGTTTCCCAGATTCAATAATATTACCTGCAAGGCTAAGGCCACCAAAAGCTCTGCGAAAACTATCGTCTACCAACTTGAGTTGTTCAATAACATAATTTTGAATTTGTACAGCATCTGCAGTGTAGCTGGCGCGATCACTGTCTGAAATACGCAAATTTTCCAATATATGCTGCAGTTCCTGAGTAAGGCTCATGATTGATCTTTGGTTAACGTCGGAGAGGAAGCTTTCAACTGATCGCAGGTATGGATATGCGTCAGCGCTTGTGATCGAACAAATTGAACGATATAACGTTTGCATATCGATAGTCGGCCAATCCGACCATTCTTTTTTTTTTTTTTTTAATTTGATCGCTACAGCGAAGTTGGTTGGTCGCAGACTATGAGTCCGCATTGACCAGGTACAAATGTTACTAAAAATTAAAACACTAAAACTATGTGCGATCCGCCCATTCGAAATGATGTTATCGATAGTGCTATCGATGGTTAAGTTATTGCAGCTCTGCACTTTCATGTACTTTGCCGTGTAGTTACCATGTATAAATAGTATAATTCTTAGGTCAACCTTATTTTATAAACAGTCCTATCATGGGCCTCATTAAATGTAACCAATCTTGTAAGAAGTCGTTTCTTAAATCGGATAAAGTAATATGTTCCTTACTGAAAGTCCCAGCTAGCTTATAATATCCAATTGAGTATTCTGATTGTCTTCGGTATATTTTGAAAATGTATTTTTCGGTGTGTTTTAGAGTGTCGGACGGTACATCTTGTCGAGAAATTCGTGGTCACACTGTTCTACACTTTTATTGACGGGGCTGGAAAATTTTTGTGAAAACGCAGAAAAAAAGTACAATAGAAATAAATAATTTCGCAACTAATTGTACTTTAAACATCACAAAACAATGAATATGTAAGTGCAAACGTATTAGACAAGCTGGTTTTGCGTTTGGAAATGTTTTTTCTGCCATGCGGCAGTCGGCGACCCAGGCGAAAATCAATAAATTCAAAATGGCAGTAACTCATGAAAATTACATAAAAAAAGTACATTTGGTTATCATTTGGAAATTTGGCTGTGAATTATAAGGATCTAAATTTTTATTCATGGAAAATAACGGTCGTTCCAGGTATAACGGACAGGTTAATACCTACGGAGGAGGGGCAGGTGCAATAGGCGGCATGCCCCCCAATCGCATGGGGGGCCCAGGCGGTGGGGCGGCTGGCGTTGGAATGTTCCAGCGCAATCGCTCGGCACCGTACCCCGGCTTTGCCGGACCCAGCAATGGCGGCCCACGTCGCATGAACGGCACTGGACAAGGTCCACGCATGGATCACGGTTTCGGCGGCAATCAGAATAACCGCACCTCTACACACGGCGCACATTTGCCGAAGATAATCTGGTCCGAGGTGAGTCTGACTCCGTTCCGCAAGAACTTCTACAAGCCGTGCGACACGGTGCTAGCCAGGACCCAGGGGGAAACCGAGAGCTTCCTCACAAACAACGAGATCACCATCAAGGGGGATCAGGTGCCAACACCCAGCATCGACTTCGAAGAGGGCGGCTTTCCAGACTACGTGATGAACGAAATTCGCAAGCAGGGCTTCGCCAAGCCAACCGCCATCCAGGCGCAGGGTTGGCCAATTGCCTTGAGTGGACGCGATCTGGTGGGTGTGGCCCAGACTGGGTCGGGCAAGACACTTGCCTATGTGCTGCCCGCAGTGGTGCACATAAATAACCAGCCGCGCCTGGAGCGTGGTGATGGACCCATTGCCCTGGTTCTGGCTCCCACTCGCGAGCTGGCCCAACAGATACAGCAGGTTGCCATTGAGTTTGGCAGCAACACGCATGTACGCAATACATGCATCTTTGGCGGAGCCCCCAAGGGTCAGCAGGCCAGGGACTTGGAGCGAGGCGTGGAGATCGTGATTGCCACACCGGGACGGCTCATCGACTTCCTCGAGCGGGGCACCACCACGCTGAAGCGATGCACCTACCTGGTGCTGGATGAGGCCGATCGCATGCTGGACATGGGATTCGAGCCTCAGATCAGGAAGATCATGCAGCAGATCCGTCCGGATCGCCAAGTGCTGATGTGGTCCGCCACCTGGCCCAAGGAAGTGCGTCAGCTGGCCGAGGAGTTCCTCACAAACTACATACAGGTCAACATTGGGTCGCTCACGCTGAGTGCCAACCACAACATATTGCAGATTGTTGATGTTTGCGATGAGAGCGAAAAGCTGGGAAAGCTGATCAAGCTACTGTCGGACATTTCGGCCGAAAACGAGACCAAGACCATCATCTTCGTGGAGACCAAGAAGCGAGTGGATGAGATAACTCGCAATATCTCGCGTCAGGGATGGCGTGCATGCGCCATTCACGGCGACAAGTCGCAGCAGGAGCGCGACTTTGTACTGTCCAGCTTCCGTAATGGACGTCACTCGATCTTGGTCGCCACAGATGTGGCTGCTCGCGGACTGGGTGAGTAGACATATTTTAGTTGGCACTGAGCCACCTCTTGTTTCTCTCTCCATAACCAAGCAATTGTTGCCTGTGGATCGATCAAGCATCCCGTGGGGTTTCTTTCATTATTTTGTGATTCGTCGTCGACGCCTCCTGGTTCGTCCCAGAGCATCCGTCAGCGATGAATCGGCCAACACCGACCCAGCCTCTTGCTCTTCCTTCACGCTCTCAATTTGAATCTAAATCTGATCTATTACTCCATCTCTTGTCTCTCACTTGCCTCGGAGTGAGGCAGCTTGACCTTTTTGCATTTTTAGGTTAAGTTATTTTACGTTTATTTGTTGCATGTTAAGTTATTCGACTCTCTTCCAGCTTCTGTTAGCATCCGAAGCATCCAAAGTCCAATAATCCCAGATTATTATTATTATTATAATTATTTCTGAGGGATGCGAGAGCTGGTCCAGACCAGGTTTACATTGTGACCCGGCTCCGACTGAGACGGAACCCCACAATCAAATAACCGATCCGAGATAATCAGATCATTCGTTATTGCAATCATTTTTTTGTTTTTTGTTGTACGGTTCCACAGTGAGCCGTCGCTTAGCTTACCGATTCGCGATACATCTCCAAATCCGATCCCTCCTCCGATTTCAATACCCTAGAAGACCTAGAAGACCCTTTTGCGATTGTCAAAGGGTGTGCGAAGAACTGGTGTGGGCTCAAATAATGAGGGGAATGTGTGTTTGTTCTCCATGCATTGCTGGTTATACGATATATGATTACTACTTTTAGTTCGTTAGTTTGTCGCTTTCTCTCTCTCTCTCTTGCTCATAGTCTTTAGTTGTGTCTCGTCAAATCACGTTTTGAGTAACCCTAACATATACTCGTAATGCAATTTACTGTCAGTCAAGGAGTCAGCGGCCAGCAAAATACTCAAACCAAAAAAAAAATATATAAAAAGTAAAACTCTAGTGACTAATTCCAGTGCACCTTAAAATCAGAAATCTAACCCCTTCATGCAAGGAAGCAACATTTAAAAGTAGCCTAAAATGTACATTATTTTTTTGAATTTTTTTGTTGTTTTTTAAGTTATTGAAACAATTAATAACGTTGAGTAATTGCAACATTTTGCTGCGGCCAACGAATTTTTTGACTGATGCTAATTTTCCTTAGCTTATTTATGTACCATAAAGTATTCTATATTTATATTACGTCGCTCCTTACTCTATGTATAAAACCGAAATTTGTGTGTGAACAAAAATATCATCAGCACTTTACGAAATGGACTTCGATTTTTAAACAAATGGCAATAAGAAAATGAACTAAAACCAAAAGCAAAACAAAACAAAGAAATGAAAAGTTTAAAGTTGAAAAAGTTACAATATACACAAAGATAAAGTTAATGAGAAAAGCTATACATATATACAAGTTGAGGGTTGAGTTATTAAGTTTCTAGCATTACTAGCATCGGACAAGCAGTCCCCAGTCCAGGGACACGGACAGAGATAGCCACAGGCAGAGCCACAGGCAGAGGCAAAGGGACAGGATCAACAGGGAACACTCACTTGATCGTAAGCCTATCTCTCTAATCTAAACCAAATCTAAACCCTAGGTCGCTGTCAGGGTAAGTACTAGACTAATTTAGTACTTCCTAATCATAGCTACTATACGCTCCGATACGCACCCTTTCCTTCACTTGCTCCCCCAACTATCCCGTGAATCAATCATTCATTCCCAGTGAAATTTATACAATCCAGAGCACCCCTCTCTCTCTATCCATAAGCTTATAATCATACCGTACCCAAACCGTATGTGTGTTTTTATATTAATTATATAATCATAATTTTTAATCAAGCCGTCTCTCTTGTATGCATTAAGCTTTAAGAACAAAAAAACATTTATATTACGATTTGTGTATTGAAAAAGAAAAACATATGAAGAAAAAAACATATTTAAGAATGATGAGAAGACAAAGGTCGAGGTCCACATTTCTGCAGTATAGAAAAAACATATATCTAATTGCCAAAGATGTATAGTTATTAATATACGCTATGTAACAGTATTGATGGCGAAATTTTTGTTCAAAGTACAAAACCAACTAAAAAAAAAAAAAGAAAACGAAAGAAAGTTAAACCCGAAATAAAAAACGACAAAATCCATTGACCGATTCGATAAAGTATATATTTTTTAAGTTATATTAACAAGTCCACACACAGACACACACACACATGAGACTCGCACGGACACCACAAAAAACAGACGCACACAGACACAATAACACACACACACACACTTACACACATGAATAAGTTTCCGTTTTTGTTAAATAGTTTTTTGAGTAAATATTGAGAAATAATCCTATTTTCGACCCCCGCTTATTGGAAAGATTCGATTTTTCTTTAACATTTTCTTTCAAACTTCTTCAATTTTCAAATTCGAAATGAAAAAAAACAATAAAACGAAAAATGAAATGAAAACAGACGTTGACGATGTCAAGTTCGTCATAAACTACGATTATCCTTCGAACTCTGAGGACTATGTGCATCGCATCGGGCGCACCGGAAGATCGAACAACACGGGCACAGCATACACCTTGTTCACGCACTCGAATGCCAACAAGGCCAATGATTTGATCCAAGTACTCCGCGAGGCTAATCAGGTGAGTCTTCTGCCTTGGAGTGGTCAAATATGTCTCCTTTTTCTAACGCATTTTTCTTTTAATTTATCGTTGCAGGAGATAAATCCAAAGCTGCTGAACATGTCCATGAGCGGAGGCTACAAGCGCGGAGGTGGAATGGGCGGCGGTTACCGCGGCGGCAATGGCTACCAAGGTCGCAACCAGCAGATGGGCGGAGGCTACAACGGCGGCAATAACTATCGCAACAATAATGCCAGTGGCGGCAACATGAATCGCAATGGTTTCAACGGCGGTGGTGGCGCTCCACGCTTCGATCAGAAGCCGCGCACATCGCCACCCAATCCGGGCGGCAATGGCGGCTATCGTCCCCAGGGCCACCAGGGATATCAGCCCCAGCAACAGCAGCAGCAACAGAATGGAGCTGCCTTCTCGCGCTTTAATCCCAATGCCGCTTGTTTCGAGCCGAAGGTACAGAACGGTCCAGGCGCACCGCAGCAGGCAAATCCACAACAGCAGCAGCTCAATGCGCAGCAGCAGCAGCCTCTGCTGCCCGACGCCGTTGCCCACGCAGCCATGGCAGCGGCTGCCAACTATGGCATTGACCAGAAGCGCTCCCGCTTTTCGCCGTACAACATGAACTTTTCGAACATGCCGCCGCCGCCAGTGAACCAGCAGCAGCATCCCCAGCAACAGCAGCAGCAGGCACAGCAGCCACATCAGCAGCAGCAGCAGCAGCAGCAGGCGGCGGTGGCTGCCGGAGCCGCAGGAGGCATGCCTCCTCAGGCGTATGGACAGTATTCCTCAATGTCCTCCAGCATGGCGACAGTTTCCCTTAACGGTGGACCGACAAGCATGCCCAACTCCTACCGCCCCCAGTATGCTGTGCCCACACAGGCGCCACCCTACATGATGGCCAACGGCGCCGACATCTACGCTTATCCGCCACCCCCGTTGCCCGTACAAAACTAAATTACACAGACAAAGCCATTTCAAAAGAAGCTATCAAACTGTAGGCCCTGCTCTGCTGTATTTAATTTAGCTTAAAACAACACACAAACACACACACATCCCCTACACACACACAGAAACCCAGACCTATTTGGAAGACGCACACCGATCAGGAGTCCGAAATTCTGATCGAGAGCGACGTCATTGATACGTTCTTCTGTGTAGATCTCCGCCCACGTCTTAGCTATATAATATGGTTTAAACTGGAATCAAATACGCTTTTAATTTGATAAATCTCATCGTTTTCCTTAACCCCAATTAGTTGATAAGATTTTGGTTTAGTCAAATTTGTAGGGCATTCGAGTGCCGATCAGCAATATTGTTGGCATTTATATTTCCACGGCCCTGGGCGTATTTGATTTCATTATACAATTCTCGAATATTGTATGTACTGTTCATTCGACGACACACACACACTGCAACTAAATGTTTGCGATGCTCTCCAAACAACCAAAAACAATCCAATCAACTTACAAATTCGGAAAGGCTTGTACCCCGAATTAACTGGGTACGGACCGAGAACATGAACAATTTTCACACTCACGGACAACACCACAAACCATGTCAATTTCTTAGAATCAAACGCGTATTATATCATCTTAAACCATATTATGTGACTAGTCTAATTAATTGCCTATCGGCGTATTTCAAACTAAATAAAAAAATAAAAATAATACAACTAAAAACTAAAGCAGCCCCAAAAAGAAAAAAAATTAACAACCACTGATACAGAATGAAATTCCATTTTATGTGAGCCTTTAACCAATAATTGATTGATTGATAAAACAGATATGAATAAAGGAATTAATTAGACATTCGAATGCGTTCTTCCTTCCTCCGATCCCAGTGGCCAGTCTTCATCGAAACGAAAGGTATGTCTCATTTCCATTCTCTTTAAAGTTTAAACTTAATTGATTTGCTTTTATTTTCCATTTTAATATACATATACATTTATTCATATAAGAAAAAACTATTATACATACATAAAAAACTATCATAATAATCAATAGAACAAAATTATACAAATATTACAGGACAGCTTCATCCTTTAATGGTTATAATCATCTCCACCATTACGAGACGGCAAAATATTTGATCGTTTTAAAACTACACCATGAGAATTGTGAATAACAAAATTTGTGTATGAGAATGTAGAAGTAATTGGTTTCAATTCAATATGTCATTATTTACTCGTACTCTGTATGATTTGTGTTTGCTTTTATATCGGGGGCACTTCCCTCTTCTCCACTCCCTTTCTTTGTGGCATTTGCGTATATTGTATATCGCCTTGTGACGCTATATACTCGATTCCTAAATCTATTAACTCCTTGCGCTTTCTCCTACCCTCTCCGCTCGTAATCCTTTGGCTGCCTCGTGATTATTATTTTTTTTCTAGTTGTAATGCTGGTTGTATTTGTTGCTCCGCATAAGTTTAGTAGTTGTTTTCACAGTTGCCACTTGAAAGACGTTTGGACTTGAAAAGGACTCCTTTATATCAAGAATTTTTTCCCGATCACAGGAAGCCATAGCACGCCTAGATCGGTGCACTATTAGTTGATATAATGCTATATTTTTAAGGTGAAAAGAGTTGATCCTCAATAAGGACTGCTTTAAAGCAAGGACGCTTCCCTGATCACATCAAGTCATGGAGCGCCCATATCGGACCACACAAAGAAGAGAAAATTAAATATATTTTTTACTTTGGAAGGATTTCAGTCCTTGAAAAGGACTCCATCAACTGAAGGACATTTTTCCGATCACAGGAAGCCTTAGCACGACCAGATCAAGATTCAAATAGCGGAGAAAATTAATTATTTCTGTTTTTGGGAAAATATCCTTGACCCTTGATAAGGACTCTAAAAAATCAAGGACTATTTTAGCCTTACAGGGAGCCATAGCAAGCCCAGATCGGCCCACAAATGGCCGAGAAACTTAATATATAAGGATGGGAGCCTAGAAGTCCTTACCCAAGGATCAAGGATATTTTTCCGATCCAAGGAAGTCATGTCTCGCCCCGGTCGGCCCTCAAGTTACGAAAATAAAAACATATTTATGACTGGACAAAATGTCATTCGTCCTTGATCCTCCGAAAGGACACTGCCAAATCAAGGACATTTTTCCGATCACAGGAAGCCGTCGCACGTCCCGATCGGCCAACAAATAAAGGATAAAACAACAAAACAAAACTTTCCTCTTGTTGTTGTCCATTTTTATTGTTGTTGTAATTTGTTGTACAACAAAAGTTGTTTTTGCTATTGTTGTACAACAAACAAATAATTGTTGTACAACAAAGGTTGTTTTTGCTATTGTTGCACAACAAAAAAATAAATGTTGTACAACAAAAGTTGTTTTTGCTATTTTTGTACAACAAAAAAATATTTGTTGTACAACAAACGTGGTTGTTGTAGATTTGCACAGTGGCGCCCCTTGGATCGACGGCCAAGTCTCGAAGTACATTATCGATTTCTGACTCCCGCCCCAAAAGTATGCTAAGAGTTAGCATGCGAAAGCAACTAAAAGAATGCAGCATGATATTTTCTGTCCGATCTGGATGTGCAACGAAGCCCCAAAAGTATGCAAAGCCTAAGAAAATGCATGCGGAATTTTTTGAAAGTCGCAAAAGCGGCATTTTGCTGATAATTTTGGAATTTTCTGTCCGTTCTGGACGTGCAATGAATTTTTAATCGGGTATCCTTCCCACCCTGGTATAGTAAGTGGGTACTTCGACGATCTGGCCATATTTTCCCGCTATTCTGTTTAAATTCTGTCTTTTTTTCTTTTTCTTAGCTCTACAATGTCCGATCGGGGCTTGGCATGCCTTTTTGTAATCGGCAGAGTCCAGCTAACTCATTGGGACAAAAGGACATCCAGGACGGACATCAACTTGCTGTACAGCACATATAAACCTAAACCCATCCCACCTTCTCGTGATCGGAAAAACATAAACTGGATCGTTTGGGATCGGATCGGATCGATTGACCGAATTAATATCTACAAAACGAAGGTTTAATAATAGCTTTTGTCATTGTACAAAATCTTTATATCATAATATCGAATTAAAAACTATGAATAGAAGCAAAAAAGTGACCATTTTGGTGGAAAAGTGGGCCGCCGGTCAAAAAGAGGACCAGCCAGTTTGGTGGCTCGGGGGACTAATTGTGGCAACTGTGATTTTAGTAATTAATACGCGTTTAGGTTTGTCGTATAAGGAGGGGGCACAATCTACCCAGTTGGGGGAGAAGGGGGTTCTGAAACATCGAGTGCAGTTTTACAATTTCTTAATTGATTTTCTTCGATTTTTTTTTTTGCTTTTCGCATTTTTTGTTTTTTTGTCATTTAGTATTTTATAGTTTTGGTTAATTAGTTCTTTCTGTTCTTTGGCTGCGGTTTATCTAACACTGATTCTGTTCTCCTCTGTTCAGAGTGTGGCATTATCCTTTGCTACGGTTGCATTTGCGTTTGCTTGCTGTTTGTTACATATATAGATATCACGATAGTTCCTGCGAGAACTGGGTCTCCAGGGTGGGTCTAGTTCTAGTTGGATTTCTGCTGGGATTGCGTATCGGTGGTCCTGGGCTGCCATAGCCCGCTGCATACAGCTGCGGGCACGAGTCTTTTATGAGTTCCTGCGTCTCGCGCAGCTGCCGCTGCACTTGCGGCGCCAATCTCTGTACGCTAATGGCCGCCGGAAACTTGTATTCCGCCGCGGGTGCTGCCTGCTGCAAAGACACACAAAAATAATCAATTAGGATCTATTGGTATTTGGGGAATTCGATTGGTTACCTGCACTCCGTGCATGAGCTCGCCATAGTAGCCACCCGGCGGCGGTGGCGGTGGCTGCTGCGGCTGCTGTTGCTGACTTTGGCTGTGTGGAGCGGTTTGAGTTTCGTATGTTTCGGGGGCATTCAGGGGAGCCGAAGACGCCGCTCCCTGTGGTTTGGTGCTCGGTGCGCCATAGTAGGCCAGCTGCAAGGGCGCTCGTCCCACTCCTAACCCGCTGGCGCCGGCGCCATTAAGGAAACCCGTTGCACCCGGCTGTTGCATGAGCTGGGAGCCGGTTGTGATATACTGTACGGAAGGAGGAGCTGCGGATACGGGGCAGGAGCTGATTGGCGGCGAGGGCGCCGCTCCATACATCAGTCGCTTGGGACTGACGCTCTGCGGCATGGATCCGGCGGGAAGGGACAGCATATACTGCTGCTGCTGTTGCTGGTACATTTGCTGCTGCTGTTGCAGTTGCTGCTGATGGATCTGCTGCTGCTGTTGTTGCTGGAGCTGCTGCTGCTGGATCTGCTGCTGTTGCTGCTGCTGGAGCTGGGCAAGCTGAGCTGCGGCTGCCGCAGTGGACGTATGGATAATGTTGGCATCCATCTGGGGCATGAGGATGAGCTGCTGCTGCTGTTGTTGTTGCTGCTGCTGCTGTTGTTGTTGCTGATAGAGAACGGCTGCCTGTTGCTGTTGCTGTTGCTGCAGCTGCTGCTGCTGCTGTTGTCGCCCCGCCAAAACATGCTGAGGTAGATACTCCGTCGCGGCCATCGTGCCACACGCCGCTGAGGGCTGGAGTAGAAGCCCTGCGCTTCGCGGTGGCTGCTTCAGCGGCACCTGCACTTGTCGAATGGGCGTGGTCTGCAACGAGCGGCTGGCGGAGGAGCAAATGGAAGCGGTGAGGCTGGCGGACTCCCAATGCTGGCGCAGGGCATTCAGACGTGCCTCCTCCAAGGCCACTTCCGTCTCGCTGGCCGAGTCGTAATCGGGACCCTGGAAAAACTCATATGTTAACCGAGTGTTTCATCAAAAGAATTAACTTCTTTGGGTCTCACCTCATCGATCTTTCTGTCCAGCATGCGGAAAAAGTTCTGTTGGCTTGAGGATATTTCTCTGGAAAAGGGCGAAAAACACAATTAGTGGGAGACAAGATTCTGGGAGATTAACTTACTGGCTTTGCAGCAACGATAGATTCTTGGCGCGCAGCAGTGAGACGGCTACATCCTCGTCCGAGTCCTGACTATCCTTATTGCTTAGCTCCTCGCTCTCGTCATGCTTCTCGCGGTCGCGTTGCTGTGCCTTCTCGGCATCCTCGATGTGGCCTTCATCCTCATCCGTTTCGGCATCTGAATCGGCTGTTGAAGGGGGCAGACCAAGAAGCAAGTAGAAAACATTATAGAAGATGAGTTGGCAATTTCGAGAGTGCCACAAAGTGGCAAAAGTTTAGCAATAAAGCGAATGTGCAACTGCTGCTTCGCTTTGGGGTTGAAGGGAGAGCTACTCCCAGTGACACACATTGACTGTGGAGCACTTGGAACTTGGCGCACTCCCAGGAACATTCAAGAAAGTGCCATTCATCTTTCATAACCTTCGGTCAAGATCTGTCTCTGGTTCGTCTTTCGTCTTTGAAGTTGGACGGCCCGGCCCACAAATATAATTAAAAAGAGTTATGCATTTTAATGCAAATCCATA